ACCAGCATATATTTTCACTTCCTTTCCTTCATCAGATTCAGCCAAGGCAGGGGGAGGGAAAGAAGAAAAAACAGTAACCAAGAAGGGAAGCTCTCACTACGCAGCTGCGGGAAAGGGGGACATTGAACTCCCAAATTTCCTGAATTCGAGCAAATAAACAGAGGCAATTTTTGCCAAGAAAGGGAAGTCAGAGAAGAGGAGGAGAAAGGAGGAAAAAGCTTAGCCAAAATAAGTAGAAGCCATTAGGGTTTCTTGAAGAATGGTGATTTCCAGCAGCTATAAATTGAGGCTTCCCCTACCCAATAGAGGCAACTCAAAAAAATTCAGGGAGCAAGCTTTCTTTCTAACTTGCAAAAATCTAACTACCTCGTGCACTGTTCATCTTCTTCCCCAATTTTTTTTTCTGGCAATTGCCAGAAGAATTCGGTCTTTCTTTTTCCTCTTTCCCCAGTCAAACTTCCTCACAAAACACCTCATTCCTTACCTTAATACTTTCTTTTCTCATAAACCAAGCCTAACCTCTCTCTTAGTGCTAAACTTATGTTGGTTTTGCTCCCATGCCACATGCCAGTCATGATGAGCTAAAAGACTATCTGAAAGCATGCCAAAATTATCTGTAAGTCACCATTATTTTGATCGGTGAAGATAGCCAAAATATCTCCTAAGGTTTTGCTACCCTTTCGAGGTATTTTGGGGCTTAATTTTCGAACCTAGGCAAAAGGGTACAGTCTCCTCAATCCACCTTTTTACAGCAGCCCAGCCCATTAGCTGCAGGAAGAAAAAGTCGCCCACAGATTGCAGCACCCAATTTTTAGCACAAAGGGGAGATTTATACAACTTTAGGGTCAGATTCAAATATCTGACCCTTCATTTTTTTTTTTGTCTCTTTTTTTTGTTCTTTGTTTTTGTGTTTTTTTGTTTGGACAACACTACTCCAAAGGAACAAATCCTTCCCCCACATTTGTTTTTTTTTTTTTTTTTTTCAAATCGTAAAACAAAAAGAATTCCCCACAAGGCATGCTTGACTATTCTTTAAGAACAAGGGTATGGATATTCTTATACTAGGCTAGGTAGGGATAATGCAAGCTAACAAAGAAAATAAGCTAAATAAGGCTTCAAAAGGATTAAACCTACAATGCATATGCAAGGGATAAGGCTTTTTGGCTCTAATGGTAACTAAACAACTTCATCTTGTTATTTGTTACGCAATCAATTTGATGCTTTGAATGGAACGGGCATGAGTTCTAGTATTTGGAACTAAAGAGATGAAAAAGCATTCTAAGTAGCAACCAAGCAAAGAAATAATGAGATCATGCAACAACTTTAGAAAACAAGAATATCAAGATTAATACGCCAGCCCGCTGGCTGTGATGATGTCATCGTGCTGACATCACAACGACGTCAGCGCAGGAGTTTAAAATTTTTTAACGTTGGCGCATGCAATGCACGCGCCAACGTTAAAAAAAATTTGACGCGCCGCTACAGTGCTCACCCAACGGCTCTCTTCCACATGTCTTCATCTGGGTCATGCAATCAGCTTTTTAAACATATCCAACGGCAGCCATTTTTTCGCGAATAAAAAAATTGAAAAAGCAACCCCCAACAGCTCTCTGCCACGTGAAAGCTTCTAGGCTCTCCGATCCTTTTTTTCCAGCAATTCAACGGCAGGCAATTTTTTGCCCAATAAAAAAAAGAAAAAAATCAGAAAAAATACCAAAAAAATAATAATAATTTTTTTCTATAAATACCAACCAATACTCTTCACTTTTAACACCAACTCCTCATACATTTTCTTCTCATTCTACTATTTTTCACTTCCTACTCAATTTTTTTCCACTTTCAAGTTGTTTTTTTCTCTATCATATTATGGGTTCTTCTAGTGAAACCAGAGGAGGGGCATGGAGCATGACGGAAGATATTAGCTTGTGTGAGGCTTGGCTCCAAGTTAGTCATTGTCCCGTAACGGGCAATGAGATCAAATTCTGTCATATGTGAAAAAAAAAATTCATCAGGAATTTTGTGAAAGGGTAATTGGTTCGACCCGTACGGATCAGGCATTATCTAGTAGGTGGAAAATTCTTAATAAAGAGCTGGGAAAATGGAGAGATGCCTTGACAAAAGCGATAAACAACCATAGAAGCGTGGAAAACCTTAGCAGTGAGGTAAATTTTTTGTAATTTTTTGTTTTATTAATTTCTATGTCATATTAAATTTTATTTAAATGTTTCTTGCAATTTATATATTATGTTAATATTTCTTGTATTTCAAATATTAATATGAATGTTTCTTGCAATATTTATATTTTGTTGTACATGTCTAATAAATGGTTAAAGTTTCTTTCGTTTCCATTATTTTTTTTAATACTTGTTGCATTGCCAAAAAAAAAATTAGTTTCTTGTATTTCCATTTTTTTTTATACTTGTTGCATTGCCAATATTTTTTAATCTTTCTTGTATTTCCATTATTTTTTTTATACTTGTTGCATTGCCAATATTTTTTAAAGTTTCTTGCCTTTCCTTGTTTTTTTTTTGTTTTTTTTTGTTTTTTGGTATAGATTATGCAAGCACAAATTTTTTTTTGGTGCTACTGGGTAAGGGAAAAAAAGTTTCAACCATACCCTATGTTGGGAGGTGGTGAAGAATTGTAAGAGATTCCAAATTATTCCAACGGGTCCAACGATAGTGTTGAACGACATGCCACTCCATGAGACGATACATCTAAATATTTGGAGGAGCTTTCAAAGATGCAAGCCATGAGAATTGAAATGGATATGAAACAACAAGAGCACGATAGGGCAATGGAAGTAGAATATGCAAAAGAAAGGGAGTATGTACGCCAAGGAAAGATTGAAAAAAATGATCGGGAAACCATGGCTATGGATACAACCCATATGTCCCCCGAAACAAAATAATTTTGGAAGTTAGAACGAATGGATGTTATGAGACGAAGACTTTTTCGTGATGATGGACCTAGCAACACAGATTGGTTAAATGATCAAAACCATTAAGTTAGTTTGCTTGCCTTTCATTTCATTGTATTTTTTGTTTTGTTTAAAAAAGTAGTGGTAATTCATGTATTTTATTTTATGAGTTGTATTCATTTTCTTTTAGTGAATGAATAAAATATTCAACAAAATTCCTTTTTATTCAAAACATTGCATACATAAAAAGCAAACCATAACCAAAGCATAAAAAATAAACAAACCACAACCAAAGCATAAAAAATAAACAAACCACAACCAATGCATAAAAAAACAACAAACCATAACTAAAAATACAACATAAACATAATACATTAAAAAAACATATTCACTTCACTTTATTGTCCTTCATTGCCTTTCACCGCCCACAAATGCTCCATCAAGTCAACTAGACGTTGTTCATGAATATAGGACGATTGCATCTCCGTGTAGCGCTCAATCATACGATGCATCAAACTACCATCTCTAACTAACGGATCATGCTGCACTGGTTCTCCATTTTGCCCCATAGGTTTTTCATAAATTCGTGTTAAGGCCGTGTTCATGGGATCTGGTTCATACACTTTATCAGCATCGTAATCATACTCATCTTCCACAATCATGTTGTGGAGGATAATACAAGTCATCATTATACTCCTAAGCACCTCCTCATCAAATAGACGCGCCGCTCTCCTGATAATTGCCCACCAGGCTTGAAGGATACCAAAGCACCTCTCCACATCTTTTATGTACCCCTCTTAATAGGCAGCAAAAAAATTTTCCTTATGGGATCGGGGATGTGGAATTGATTTCACAAATGTTGTCCACCTCGGGTAGATACCATCAGCTAGATAATACCCGTTCTGGTAGACAGTATTATTAATTTGATATGTGATAGTTGGGCCTTCACCTCTCAGAACATCATTAAACACCAGGGATTGACTCAGGAAGTTCAAATCATTTTGAGAGCCGGCAACTCCAAAGAATGTGTGTCAAACCCATGTATCAAAACCAGCAATTGCTTCGAGGATGATGCTTTTCTGCCCTTTCCGATTGCCATAATCCCCTTGCCAAGCAGTTGGACAATTTTTCCATTGCCAGTGCATGTAGTCAATACTACCAATCATCCCAGGAAATTCACGAGACTCAGCTTTTTGTAGAAGCCGTTGCAGGTCCCTGGGTATAGGTCTGCGCAGATAGTCCCTGGTGTACAGAGTTTCCACTGCATCACAAAATCGCACCAAGCTCTCCAAAATAGTCGACTTCCCCATCCTAGCAATCTCATCCACCTGATCAGCAGATGACTCATACGCCAACATTCGTAGCACAGCTGTGAACTTTTGCTCGGGAAGAAGCCCCAAATTTCCAGCACAATTTTTCTTTTGAACAAAGTAGTCATCATAATTGCAAATATCATGCATGACTTTATTGAACAAATAGGGTTGCATTCTATATCTTGCTCGAAAATGAACATCAGAGTACAGAGATTGTGGGATAAAATAATCTTTCATCAGATTCTTACCCCGAGAATGTCTATGTATGTCCACATTCGGTGCTCGGCCTTCTCATGAACCACGGCGGCTCTGGTTTTTTTTCCTCCAGCATAGCAACGGCCACACCAAGTTGCTCATCTAGATCTCTCTGCGCCCTTTTGCTTGCAGCTTTTCTATGCATTTTTGCTCACCTTTCTCGCTCTTGCCTCTCCAAAACCTCTTCCATGTATGACATTGAGAATGGAGAATGAAATCTAAAATATGAGAAATGGAGATGTAGAGAAGATATGGTGTGGGAGATATGAGCTGAGCATTTAGTTTTATAGAAAAATTTAGACAGATAGAGATGACACGTGGCGCAATTTTAGAGGGTGAAAATCTTATCTGAAATTTGAAATTTATCTGGAATTTGAATTTTGAAATGTATCTGAAATTTGACATTTTGAATTTATCTGAATTTTGAAATGTATCTAAAATTTGAAATTTATCTTAAATTTAGCTGAAATTTGAAACCGAAAATCTGATCCGATATTAATAGTATTGACACGTAGGAACCCAAAAATCTTATCCGAAAATCTTATCCAAATTAATTGTTTAAGTAAACAAAGTTGTGAAAAAAACAAAAAAATGAATAGTATTTGCCATGGCAAGCCTTGCACTGCTGGAAACACAAATTTTTTTTGGTGCTAGGGCAGCTACTATTCACATGAATAGTAGCTGCCCTAGGGCTCCTCTTGCCATGGCAAGGGGCTAACTGGTGGAAGTGCTAACATCTCCTACAACCTAGATTGGACGAACTGATGTACAAGAAAATTCATCAACCTGAGAAACAAAACCCTCTCAAAAGCATTCAGAACTCTGTATTAATTGCCTAGATTTTTGTCGTTTTACCATGAAAGCATCTAACAAAGAAAAGGAAAAAAAAATCAATACCATAATTTCGTGTAGGTACATAACCATCACAACAATATACAAGAGTATCTCAAAAAATGATACATAAACAAAACCACACTGGGACTTTCAACAAACACGTTGTGTGCACCAAAACCTAACAAACTAAATAGTGTGATCAATATGTCACAAATCACAAGACAATTTCATAAAAAGAGCAAAACTACATAACCAAATTCCCAATAGGCTGTACGCACATAAACAGGTTGTAAAAAAACAAAAATCAAGACCAGAATTTGGTGTAGGTACATAACCACTCTTTCTCTGGTTTTGCTCTGGTTAGTAGTAACAATTGATGGGGGCTTCATGTACGTGCAAGAGAGAGACTTTTTTTACTTGCAATTTGACGGCAGACCACTCACGCTTGCTAGTCGGTGTTGAATACTTCGGTCGTTCTCGTATTCTCTTTACGACTGGGCTGATGAAAGGAATGTGCCTGCAAACCCAGATTTTGAATGACATTAGAAGGTTTGGGGGAATCTAATGTTGGAGAATCTGTGGTTTTAATGGAGGGAATCGATCAAGGCTGAAATGGTGGTAAACTGAAATGTTTTGAAACGGTAGTTCTGAGTTTTTTTGTAAACGGTCAGATAGTTTAGAATCTTAGATGCGTTGTTTACCTACAATGGCAACTAATGTAAATAACTACAATATTATGACCTTTTTCATCTTAGAGGGCATTACAATTTAAATTTGGGTTTTCAACGTAGTTATATAGATATATGGGTTTGTGTCTATGGGATATCAGTTGTATGGGCTTATATTGGAGTCTCTCTACTTTATATTACATCCACGATAAAAATGTTTGACTCCCGTTCTTCTTTCTCTTGAATTAGAGGAAAAAAAAAAATTCAAACACAAACATCGGTGATAGTTTTCTTTTCTTTTACCATGACTCTTCTGATAGTATTTTTTTCACAATCTAAAAACACCCGTAAGCTTTTACTCAATTACCTCCTTATAACTTTTGGAGTGGAAAAAAAGGCATCAATTCGTAGTAAAACTGGTGTCTTCAAGAGGAATTGTTGAGACCAAATGCTTCCAAATTTTGTGGTGAAATTCTTGGTACAAGTTTTTTAAGGTGACTTTACCAGCACTCATGTCTCCTCTTTTTTCTTCCCCCAAGAAAATACTAGTCATGCATGTGTCATGGATCTTAGTGTTGGAAGTAACATTACAACATTCCTCTTACTCGGGAAGCTTTGCCTTGTTTTGTTCTAATCATGGATTTAATGCTTTCCTTAAAATCCTCAGTTGATGTTGTTGAGAGAAGCCAATGGTCTAGTATAGTGAAAAAGAGTCTTAATTTACACATCAGTAGTCTCAGGTTTGAATCCCTATAACATATTTGACAGTATGTGAAAATACCCCGTCCTCTCCTAACTTCGGCTAAAACGGAGAGCAAAAAAAGGATTAACTGGGCCAGCAAGGGAGATGTAAGATCAAATCCAGCCCATCTCTTGACCCGGAAGCCAACCCAACCCACTAAACAACGGCACGCCGTTTGGGTCATCGCGCCGCGCCTTGATAAACGACCGTCGGCTTCATTTCTCAAAATTCAAATTCAAAACCCCAACCCCCACTTTTCCCTCGCTCTCTCTCTTTCTCACGGTGCAGCAATGTCCACCAACGCCACCACCCCAAACGCCTTCTTCACCACACCGACCAAATCCCCATCGGGAAAATCTCACTCTCGAAAGCACCCCCACCCAAGTTTCACAGCCGAAAACGACATGTCGTCGTCTTCGTTGGTCTCCCTCTCCAACTCCAAGTCCCGGTTCGAGGCCTACAATCGCCTCCAAGCGGCCACGGTGGCCTTCGGAGAGAAGCTCCCAATCCCGGAGATCGTAGCCCTCGGAGGCCAATCTGACGGCAAGAGCTCGCTCCTCGAAGCACTCCTCGGCTTTCGCTTCAATGTCCGCGAAGTCGAGATGGGCACTCGCAGACCTCTCATTCTCCAAATGGTCCACGACGCCACCGCTCTCGAGCCACGTTGCCGATTCCAGGTGTTCGTTCTTTTCTAACCCATTCTTGGTTTTTTCATTGCTCTGCATTTTGTTGTTTTTGTGTGTTCATCATTCGTTTAGTGGTTCTGTTTGGTTGCTGAGGAATGTTGATGGTGATGATGATGATACTTCGAGTTTTAAGTGTACCTGTTTTATGTGGACTCATAAGGTTTTGAACATTTGGAAGTATATAGCAACAAAAAAAGCGTACATGTGGAATTGTGTGCGTGTGTGTAATGAACTTTGTTTTGTTTCTGAAAATTGGGGAAATGAATTATGTTGAAGATTTGATTTTTCTTATGGTCCTTGTGATATTAGGAACATGGAATACTAAACCAATTACTTCAAAACAGAAAAAAGTGTTCAACATGGTCTAGGGATTGAGTTTTAGGGTGTTAATTTTCTCTGTTAATAAACTGATCAACACCAACACTGGGGAGGATGGTTTCTGAATGAATTTGTTTTGTTCTTTTTTATTCTTTTCGGTTGTAAAGCTAGCAAAGAACAGAGAGAAATGGAAAATGGAAAAAGAAGCATCTTGAATTATCTGTTGTGTTGGTTTCAAAAGAAAATGGAACTCAACACGGTGTTTTTCTAAGGAACACTAGACATATTACGAGTTTCTTACTATTGCAACTAAAACCTTGAAGTCTGGTTATTGTAGTGATGTTTAAACTTTTTTGTAGTGCCCTTGGTCCTCCTTTAATTAGATTTTTCATGTGCTAAATGGTTTAATTACACAACACATTGATCTTAAAGAGTACTTGAAACAGGAGGAGGATTCTGAAGAATATGGAAGCCCAGTTGTTTTGCCATCTGCCATTGCAGATATTATTAAGTCCCGAACTGAGACACTTTTGAAGAAAACTAAAAGTGCAGTTTCTTCAAAGCCTATTGTTATGAGAGCAGAATATGCTCACTGCCCAAACCTCACCATTATAGATACTCCAGGCTTTGTTCTTAAGGTGGGTTTTAGGCTTCAAATACTGCAACTTATGTGTGCCTATTTTGGTTTGTTTTAAGGATTTGAATATTGTTCACAGGCGAAGAAAGGAGAGCCTGAGAGAACACCTGAAGAAATTCTTTCTATGGTGAAATCACTGGCTAGTCCTCCACATCGTATCCTCCTGTTTCTTCAACAGAGTAGTGTGGAGTGGTGTTCATCTTTGTGGTTGGACGCTATTCGGGATATTGATCCAACTTTTAGACGGACAATTATCGTGGTCTCCAAGTTTGATAATCGTTTAAAGGTATGATAGTTGTTTAGAATCATTACTAAGCACATTTATGTTATGGTTAATAATGTTACTGAAAATTGGAATATGTGAGTGAAAAGCCTTTTTTTCATGTTGCAATGTTAATTGGCTCTGTTGAAGTAGATTCTATGTTGTTTGAATATTCATTTTGATTATAAGAATTCAATATATGCAGGAGTTTAGTGACCGGTGGGAAGTGGACCGGTATTTGAGTGCAAGTGGTTATCTTGGCGATAACACTCACCCATTCTTTGTTGCACTGCCAAAGGATAGGAATACAATTTCAAATGACGAATTCCGCAGGCAGATATCTCAAGTAGACTCTGAAGTTCTCCGTCATCTGCGTGAGGGTGTTAAGGGAGGCTTTGATGAAGAAAAGTTCAGACCATATATTGGATTTAGTTGTTTGAGGGAATATTTAGAATCTGAACTTCAGAAAAGGTATAAAGAAGCCGCACCAGCAACTCTTGCTTTGCTTGAGCAGCGATGCAGTGATGTCACCTCTGAACTAGACAAGATGGACTCAAAAATACAGGCCACCTCTGATGTTTCTCAGCTTAGGAGA